ATTCAATAGTGTATAAAAAGCACAAAAAAGAAGGTTGTAATAAAACAATTTATAGAGGTTGACCATTCAGCTTATATCCAGGGTCAGTTGATATTCAGGTGCCCTCTTAAATAAAATAAAAAGGTCTTGCGACCAACATTGTACAGTACAACAATCATCATCATCCCCGTCATCGGCATCTTCATCATCATTATCATCATCATCATCATCATCATAATCACGATTTTAGTATATCGGACAAGATTTCAAGGTAAAAACCTGTTATAGACCTATTACACAAAACACATAGACTTTGTTTTACCACAGACATCGTTTTATGTGGCCAAGACATCCGTTGTAATCTGCTCTGGTATTTTGCTAATGATGTATTAATACCTAAATTGGATAAGGCATCTGGTACTGAATTGAGTTGAAGGATCTACTCAACATTCAGAATGATAACTCATTCGACGATCACAACATCCTGAGTAATGTGTGTAATTGAATGGTTCAAAGAATTTTTATTTTTATTTTTTGCAATAGAGGCCAAAGACCGACATAGATCAAAGAAGTTATTTATAGAATGCAGTGTAAACGATAATAATAAAAATGTATTAAGAAAAAGATTAGTTGACTGGAAAACTATATGAAATAATCAGTCTTGACTAACGACATGGAACACCAAGAATTATAGTTGTTCCGCACACTATCATAAAAATCGGTCACCTGATATGACCCATATCGACATTATCATGATTTTGGTAACTGGACACTTAAAATTGGTCCCAGTTTTTAATGGCAATCTTTCACAAGAATAATTGTTCCATGGATCATACTTAATTCTCTCGACAGTTTTTCTGAGTTTTTTGTATAATGTCATCATGTCGTCTTTAATACGGCCTAAACTTTTTTTTTCTATTAAATTTATTGGCATGTTATATTTTGGTTACCAAATGCAATTGAAAATTTTATGTATCCGTATTTGTAAAGTTGTATTTAATCATTTTTAATTACTTTTCCCCTATTTTAAAAAATGAACTTTGTATAACCTTTAATGTTAAAAATATAAGCTCTTCTAAATGAAGGGTAAACTAAAGATACACACGTGATCTGAATTCTCATTGCTTCAATTCTATAATCTGTTGCTTGGAGATTTATTAGTGTACTGCTGCCGTCGGCTATTTGGTATTTTTTTTAGACCTAATGCAAATCTATGTCAGGAGTACAGCCTAATCAAGCTGGAAACTTTGTAAATTCGTATGAATATTTTTTACCAGGCTTAACTGAAATTAATGCTTGAACCTCAGAAATGGTTATAACACATGCGCCTAATCCGTATTTCTATGAACACTTTTCTTCAAATATAATACGTATTTATTGAACCATTTATTTTAACCATAGCCTTCATTTTTGTAGATGGATATAAATCATTTAAGACCTTAATACAAAACAACAAATAGGCCTCTTAGTTTATAAAACGAAAAAAAAAAACTACACTAAAGACCTATCGAAACCATCAAATTTTATTTGACAAAAACATGTGACATGCCTAAATATGGTCATAATGACATCACATCATGACCATATTTGACATCATGACTTTATATGGGCATACAACAGGTCTTTCTTCGCGGACAAAGCTTAACGAAAGGACTGTGTGCTTTACCTCCCGAAAGACATTAGGCATCTTTTGCATGTAATGCATCACTGTCAATTGGCTGGGTTAAATATACCTGATGAATATCTAGCGAGCTTAGATGATATTAAAAATTTACAATTAAAACAGCATGCACCAGCAGTTCAATGAGGTCAAGTGGTTAGGATGCTGCTCTCACCGTCGTGGCGTGGGTTCGATTTCCCTATGCTGAAGCACATTTTTTCAGTAGGCCTATTGCTTTTGGTTTTAATTGATTATGGAAAATAAATTTGTATAGGCAGTAAAACTGATTATTTTTTCGATTTGTATTTCATTATAGGCCTATGTATACTTATTTGAATCATTTAAATTATTAAAATTTTGAATTATTGTCGGCAAAGGTGACGAATTGCATGTGGCAAGAATTTCTTTTCTAGACCTAAGACGAATCGTTTATTAGTCCAATGACATGCTTAGCAATATCATCAAGATAAATAATCCATTTTATCAAATTTTGATTACCTAACACATAGGCCCTACTCCATAATAAGTTGGAAAGTAGGCATACTGAGATTGTTTACCAGCAATCTTACAAATTCGAAAAAAACCCTGGAAACACGGGAGAAGAACACACGATAAGACCTGCACTTACATACCTAGATATTCTTAAAGCAGACACTGAGCTGGAGAAAGAAGACCTCAAAAGAGCAATGGGGGAACAGATGCTTGTGGAAAACCATCGTGGTTAGATGAGACACCGCCCGAATAAAGCAAGCAAGCAAGCAAGCATATAATAAACTCTGGAGAGGTGTCTATTATTGCGAAAAGTACCGTATGTTAAGTTATTGAGTATACGAGCATTTTGGGACATCGCCCTTCATCAGGTATAGGCCTACGTACAGACTGTCTCTTATACACATCTAGATGTGTATAAGATATCATCATCATATATAATCATCAAAGAAAGGTAAATACAGTGTTCGAATAAAGGACTTAATAAATACATCGTGTAGCATAGCTCTCAACGAATGTATAGTCCTGTAAATAAATGAATAAAGAAATTGTGTAATAAAATGCCTCTGGCTCGAACCTGCGACCTCTCGCTGTCAAGGCGAGTGTCATAACCACTAGACCACGGAGGCTTCATGGTTGAACAGATTCAAATACCACCATATACAATCTATTACACAATAAGTACGGTTAGAAACAAATAGGTGCAAATAATATATATATATATATATATAGGCCTATATATAATACTTTTATATACTTATATACTTATATACTATATATATATATGCGTATATATACTTATATAAACCCAACAACACGAGTAAGTAAGTAGAATGCAGACGTAAGATTAATGGCAATAGCATTATTGAATGATTATAAAACAAAATTTTGGGCAGCGTGGTTATGAATGCTTAAACAAATATATATCAAGGGAAAATAATCACGAGCAATTTACTTTTACCGTTAAAAAAAATATGGATTTAAAGAGACAAAGGTTTACTCTATACATTTTAGAGAGGAGCTAGTACAAAACGATTATAAATTCCGATTTATTTTAATATTACGCATAAGGGCATCTCTCCAACGAGCCGTTCGGCAGGAATCTATTAGCAGACAGGTCTGAAATGAATGTACATATGTATTAATATGTAATTCTCTAGCGGCTATGAATATAAGAGAGAAAGTGCCAATTAATAATGACGTCGAGTCAAAATGTAAACCCACACAGACATTAGTTATTTGTAATCACACATCGAATATGGAGAAAACAATACATGATGATGAGATTCAGACGAGGAACGTTGTACTTCCTCAGCAGGTTTATTTTTTTTTATTATCCTGTACTGGTTCACTCAGACCCTGTGGTAAAAGTTTATTCAGAGGAACGTCATTAGAATAACATTAAAGATAAATTCTCCTCACATTCTACTGCTCCAAGCATGGGCAGCATGTAGGAGGACCTGTACTGGGATGAACTTTGACGGTGAAGACACAAATTATGCTAAATATTAATAAAACAGCTATTCAACCCGTCCGTCCGTCTTATTATAGAGATATTATAGTCTTAGGCAAATCGACGAGGTTTCAACAGCATATTTAGAGAGCCCTGTAAATATCGATTTTTTTTTTTTTTTTATAGTGGAGATTTTTTTTTTTGTTTTTTTTGACCAATTAAGTGATTGTGAAATTAGAATCTAAGATGTATGATTAAAACTGGCATGCATCGGAACATTCAAAACAAATTTTGGTTAAATGAAAAGATGGATGAAGCTTCGAAAATATGAACTGAAATATCTAAAAAGGAAGAGACGTATACATAAAAGTAAAAGGTTGAATAAATGACAGTACTCTATTTACTAATCGATTAGATGAATGGTGCATGTAAATGATTAAATGGACAAGATAGATGACGTAGATACGTCACATAGTATACATTCAAAATGAATGAAGAATGGAGAAGAGATAAATGAACGAACAACAAGCTGATGTTACTGATACTCTGTCTGTTGGTGGATATGTTGGTGAGTAAGTCGGTGGTGGGTATGTTGGTGAGTAAGTCGGTGGTGGGTACCGTATGTTGGTGAGTAAGTCGGTGGTGCGGTATGTTGATGAGTAAGTCGGTGGTGGGTATGTTGGTGAGTAAGTCGGTGGTGGGTAAGTTGGTGAGTAAGTCGGTGGTGGGTATGTTGGTGAGTAAGTCGGTGGTGGGTATGTTGGTAGCATGTTGAGGGTTTGGTTGATGTGTCGGTTAGTGGGCATAATTCGTATCATTTACCTGGTATTTAATTACAAAGCATGCACCATTTGAATATCTACCACATATAAGTACGGCATTATTCATTAAAATCTTATTTTGTCCTCAGATGAGCTGGACTTGTAGCTGAAAGTCCCATGTGGACTGGGCAAAACCCAGATAGGATTAACGGAAAAAGGGTAAGCCCTAGAAGCTCAGTTTTGGGAAGTAATAGCTTATTAATTGCAGCAGCCTATAATTTGCACATTTTGTTCTGGTCTAAAAAAGAATAAGTAGGCTGAAGAATTTTTCGCCCTATAAAATACGATCATAACTTGCGACTAGTACTGTCACTCACTGCATTGATTAATAACAATGGTATTGATATTTTAAATATGAATTGTTTTTATCGGGACTTGAGCCCACGACCTTTTGATTACCGTTCGGGTGCTCTACCAACTGAGCTATAAACTGTATATTCTGACGTTCCCCTGGGACACTTTTATGCAACAGATAAATCATGATAGTTACATTTTTTATGAACTGTGATGGCATCTTTGTCTGAAACTTAAAACGATCGAATGTCACAATTGATTACCATATTTAATGTTTATCTCATTAGTGAAAACTGAATATTTTTGTTTGTGCTGCAGCTTATGTTTCAATAGCAACACTTGATCACCATAACGGTTTCTTTGAGTTTTGTTTTCATAGTAATATCGCCAACAACTTCAACAATCTAACCACAGCATTTACTGCGTGATGTTCGTTTCAAAATTGTGTGACAACGTATTTATCCACGCAATAAAAACAACAAACTCAATATCCCGAAAAACATCTCGATAACGACAATACAATTGCTTATATGTTTTGTACAAAGCTAGGAGACACATACTGACGATGTTGTCGGACCAGGACATATTTGCGGCTAACAAAATGTATTCCTTTTTAAAATTTGTGTTGTTGTTTATTTGTTTGGGAAATTTTGAAAGCATCCTCATGAAAGACTTTAAGATTAATAATACTCCAGTATCAATACAAGAAGTCAGAAAGCTGGAAAAACTATCAAGTCCGTCAATGCAAAATCCGATATAAACTTTTCGAGAAATTGGAAATTGCGTTTTTTTTTTAAATTAATAATAATAATAATAATTATTATTATTATTATTATATTTATAATTATAATTATTATAATAGTGATAATAATAATAATAATAATAATAATAATAATAATAGATATTAAATGACAGATAGTAGATCTTAGACTATACACGATAGACAATAGGCGATACCTACCAGACGATAGGCAATAGACAATTGAAAATGGATAATAGATAATAGATAGATAACACATAATATATTGGATTATAGATACTAGATAGATAATACATAATAGATAGGCCTAATAGATTATAGATAATAGATAATAGATACCGGTAATAGATAATAGGTAATACAGCAGGTAATAGGCAATAGGTAATATGCAAAACAATGTTCATCTGTCGAAATAAGAAGTAATGTACTCCTTTTTAACGCTTATTTTCAAAAGGTGTCCTGTCCCTGTCAACATAGTTTCAGAATAGACGGCTCAAGTATTGAGGCTCAAAAGATTACATATTCGAATTCCGTGCTAAGAATATATACGGCATTACATGTGTATGTAATAAACGCACATTTTAGAAATAGCTTTATTTTTGTTTAAAGAGATCTATAGAAATAGATGTGGAGGCACGTTTTAGAAATCGCTTTACTTTTGTTAAAAGTGGTCTACAGAAATCATGTTAAGATTACAGAAATTGCAAAACTCTGCTGCTAGATTTATAATATTCTCATACAATCATGGTACACACTCTGCTCCGCTCATTAGGGAACTTCACTGGTTGCCTGTTGACAGTACAGTTGATTTTAAAATCGTTCTTACTGTCCACAAAGGTATAAATGGCTTCTCCTTCCCTCACTCCTCGTCGTGTTCCAACTCGGACATGATACTCCTCTTCACTTCACTGCATTGTACCACATTGTAACAAGATGACTGGTAATTTTTCAGGGGCGGATTCAGAGATGTCCAAAAAGGTGGGGGGGGGAGCGAAAGAGGGTGCCGAAAGTTGGGCCGATCAAGACAACACTGTCCTAGGGGGCCGGGGCATGCCCCCGCGAAATTGTTGTGTTCTAGACGACCGAAAATAACATTTGAGGCGTTTTGGGTTATCATTTTTTCTTTTTCTTTCTTTTTTTCTTTTCTTTTTTTTTTAAACCTCCGCCCTACCCCCACCCCTAAATCCGCCCCTGTTTTTCTTATTCGGTTTATGCTGCCCGACTCTGGAATAATCTTCCTAATGACCTTAAGAATATTTTTAAAGTTAATATTTTTAAAAGGTCACTTAAAACGCATCTTGTCTTTATTTTTTCTGTCTTTTTATTCTTTTTTTTTTTTTTTTTACGTTGATGATGAGAACTCGATGTTATTATAAAATAGAGTGTATTCTTTGTGGTAAGTGATATTTTTTTTTCTGGAACTGATGTGGATCGGTTGTTCATTTTATTTGAAATTCGGAGAAAACTTGGCTGCGCTTGCGCTTTGCAACTTAAAGGAAAGGGGCATTACAAATTCCGAGTATCAGTATGAGTAACAGTTAAAGCTATTCCTTATACTATGAATAGGCCTATTCTTGACCTGCTTTGTGCGGCCTAACCATTGTGTTTTTTCATTGGTCATCGTTGTCTTAGTGCGCGCCAAATGGTCCCTCACTAACGGGACGGGAAAGCTAGAGTAAGTGCTCGTAAAACACCAGACGTCATACACTAGCGACGTGCCAGGAGTAATGGAGATTCTTCCAATGATCTAGTTACATAAGACCCGTTCTAGTTTCCTCATCTCCGTTTGTATATTTCATTCAGTTCAGGTCAGTAAAATTTTGTCCGATGTTACGTCATAACTGTATCATCAATAACATCTTAAATTAGTTTTTACATTATAAGACTTTTATTAAAAATATCAGATCATTATTTGTAGTCTATCTGTTAATTTAAATTTCTTTTGTTTTTTTGTATTGCTTTCTTCGAAACCTTAATACCCACCGAGTCATATATATTGAGAATAAATATTCATTCCGGTCTTCTGTTTACGTACATATCTATTAGTATTAAGCCATGAACGCTAAATGTAAATGTATACAAACACGGTTCTTTGTATAATAATAATTATTATTCTGGATTTATATAGCGCATCACGTTTCACAACCTCGAGGCACTTAACAACAACGTAAAGAAGAAAAATAAACCACTAACAAATTTACAAATGTACCGTTACGTACATGCCTAAAAATGTACCGTTTTATAATGAAAATAATAATAATAATAATAATAATAATAATAATAATAATAATAATAATAATAATGATAATGGCCCTTTTTTAAGTATGACCCAAGGATTC